AAACATTGCTGTTTGCTTGGTGGTATTCTTCTCTTGCATATATCTTATCCTACATGGTACAACTGAGCCAGCTGCTGACTGCTGGAAAGCACACCAGACCTGCATGGGCATTCCCAACCGACAACCGACCGTGAGATGAGAGCGGCCTTGGGCTGGGACAAGGGCCCAGCAGATGCACTTGTCAGCAAAGATTGTGGGAACCCAAATCACACTACTGCTATTCTGAGATGGGGATTTCTGTGATCAGGTTCTGTACATTTTGGTATTTCAGCTCAGTCAGCAGAAATACAGATTTATGCAGAAGTGCATGGATATGCAGAAGCACGCCAGTCAGAAACTGTGCACCAAGACTGGAGTAGTACAGCAGAAGCTTCACTTTGCCCAGCACTTGCTGCCTTTGAGGTACAAATACTAACCAAAAATGCACACCAGCCTGCACATTACAGTTAAAATTGACATATTTAGACTAAGGATATAATTAATGTTCAATTTCCCAAATTTGTTTTTACATCCAGACAGAATACCTGAAGTCATGTTTACTTTTTTTCTGTTGTGATCCTTTCTGGATCCTATCCTGGCACCATTAGTAATTTCCATGGTGCTTCATCACTGGTTTACTAAATCATTGTTTTCAAGAGGCCGAAAATAAACCAGGATTATCCTGGACACAATAGAGTTACTGGGGGTTTGTGCATCCTAATGCAGGCCCATCCCTGTGCAGGAGCATCTTTCACTCAAGAGAGGTGCAGGACACAAATAGCCTTCGTTAACCTGTGGGTCCTGAGGGCTGTGCAGCCTCCGGATGTGGGTCTCTGCCGCGATTGAGAGACGGAGACCTTGCTAGATGGAAGATAGATCTCAGTTTATTGTCTTTTTACAAGCTTCTTTTATAGGGTTTCATATAAAATCAAAAGATAGCGTATACAAAGCTGATTGGTTATATCTAAATTATCTAATACATATTGCAAAAGCTAAGCTCACTATTGGTTGCTTATACTAAGAGCAGTCTGCATCCTGTTTGCTCCACAAGCTCCGCTCCTGCATTTTTTCACTGCATATCTCGGTCTCACATCCGCTGATAGCATTAGCTCCAGCCGGATCCACACCCTGTTGTTGTGAAATCGCAGGCCCCAAAGTCACACTGTCCTTGTGGCTTAAACTTTTACCAGACGAATTGTGTCTTGTCCTTTCTTTTCCAACCCGCGCTTCATGAGTTCCCACAGGTCTCCTTCGATTATCTGACTCTCTCTCGGAGTTCTCTCCGAATCAGGTGGATCATTCCCTTCAGGTCTCACCTCCTCCCTTTGCACAGGAAGGCAGCAGTAGAAGCTCAAAGCAGTTAGGCTGTGAGGAGAAGCTGAGGTCAGGTCCAGCTCGGGGCTCCTGGTGTTGCTGCTGCTGCGATGGAGGAAGGCAGCTGCCTCTGGCAGGAAATGCTTTGAGCTGCAGAAAGCGTCTCCCATCTCCTCGCTGGAAGGGTTTGCAAGAGCTGCTGAGACAGCAGCAGGGGGAAGATGCTCTTTAGTCTCTGGCGAGAACTAGAGAAGTGAAAGACTGCAAAGAAGGCTCTGCACGTTTATGCTACCCTCATGCCGCAGGGTTACAGCCCTTGTTGGGGGGGAAGCCCTGGGTCCCAGCCTCACTCCAACAGCTACACAACATCAATCAATAAAACCTCTGGAAAGAGGGAGATATCCTCTAGAAGAGATAGATGCTCAGCAGTAGCAGGAAAAGGCTTGGGCAAATGGGCTCCAGCACCTGTCCCAAAGCGCTTACATGAGGGCTGCAGGACAGGGCTGCAGGGCTGCAGAAATTGTTCCCACGTCTTGGTGCTTCAGCTGAGTGAGGTCTGATGTAGAGGGATCCCGCAGTGAATCTGCAGGGGAGATAGCTGGTGCTGTCCGCCTGCTCACCACCCTTTGGCTTTGTCCTGCGTGTTTGTGGATCCTCTTCCAGAGCATCTGGTGTTTGCATATACAAGCAAAGCCTGGATGCCTGAGAGTGGTAAGGCAGGAGCTGTACCTTTTCCTCTGGTCACATTCTTTGCTTTAAAATTTGGAGAATGTGTGTCATGGCCCTCATGAAGCAGCATGTATTTCTTACACACTTTCTGTTACTGGCCCATTCTTGCAAAAGATTGTACCTTGCAGAATGGAGATACGAGTGCACATTAAAATAGTAAATCCTATCCAAAGAAGGTCAGTGGTTTAAAAGAACTGTGTTTTCTATTTTGTTCTGCTCTGCTCTAGGAAGTAAACCCAAGGGTACCCAGTATGTGTGGAAATACTACAAGGGCAGACTTTTATGGGAAATTAGATTTCTAGAATAAAAGGTAATCTACTCTCCACTTCTTTTTTCCCAGGGGAGGAGAAAGAAAGAGAGAATGAGCGAGATGAGGGAGAAAAAAAGGCAGCTGGAGGGACTGTAACGTTTGTAGAACTGCCCAAGACAGAAGAAAATGCACAAGCTGAAATAATTAATGATGATGTAGGTTCCCTCAGGTGCAAGGATTGTGCAATTACACTGCATGCAGTATCTTTATTATAAAACTTCAAATATGGTGATATCTTGTAGGGAGAAATAGATCAGGACTAAAAGCTTCAGAACACCATTGCATTTATCTATTAATACACATTGATAGCACACATAAAAAAGATATTCTATATAGATAGATGCATGTATATGTATGTGTATGTATTTGTGCATAAATACACACATGTGCATGTGTCTATATGTATGTATATGTATGTATATGTATGTATATGTAGGTCTTTATGTCTATGCATGGGTAACAATTCACATATAAATCAGTCATTCACAATTACCAAGTTGGAACAGTAACTGGGAGGTCAACCCCAGTTGTATGCTCAAGAGCAGTGACCGTACCGGCACATCAGTTACTTAAAGTGTTCAAAAAGTTCCCCCATGGGGCAGTGTGAGTGTCGTCTGGGTTTTAGGCATCTCTGGAGCCTCTAGCTACTCAAACTATCCAGTGCCATCCGCTTGAGATACCACCTGAGTTACAGGATGCTTGGTGTTACCCCTGTTTGTGTCCCTCTCCATCCTGCTTCAGGCACCTGCAGAACGACCAGCCCCTTGGCCAGGGTCAGGGCTCTGCTGAGAGCACCCACTGCCCTGGCCTGTGACTTACCAGCCAGCGGGTCCACAGGGAGCTTTTACGTATGACTCTTACTGCTCTCTCAGCTCACACCCAGTACTTTTTTCCACTCTTCAGCCTTTTTTTGCTGGTAACTATTTCTCCACTCATCCCTAGGGCACTCATTCATTCCCATAAGGGTTTTTCCTTGACACCCACAGTGTCTCTTCCAGACTGCAACTTCCAAAACCTTCCAGCCCAGGAGCTGCAGGCCCTGGCAGCAAATGGGGAGTCAGGATTTTACCTAGATATTCCTCCATGTTGATTTCAACAAACACATGCATATCATTTATTTCTTTGTTGCTTATCTAATTATTTTCTCACTAAGCTCATTCTGTGCTGGAAGCCTCATTCAGATCTGTCAACTGGGAGACAGGCTCTGGCATGACACCTTAAACTTGGGCACCATTTCCCTCCAAAGAGCAGGTTCCCACTCCTGCTGTGAGCCTCATCCCTGCCTATGAAGCCAATCCACTCTGCTTGAGATGAGGGATGGAGTGGCCAAGTGTCTCAAATTCAGAAACATAAACAGTTCCTTTCAGTACTGAATCTGAGGCAGCAGAAGAAATGTTTATAAGGCACCTCTCCATGCTGCGCGGTCTTGTGGTTTAGGCCCAGAGGACAACAGAGCACCATGCAGCTGTTCACTCACTCCTTCCCCCCCCCACCCCCCCAAGTTCTTGGAAGGAGAAAATTAATCAAAAGGTTCAGAAATTGAGATAAGGAAAGAGAGGGGTCGCTCACCCATTAACAGTCATAGGCAAAAGACAGTCTCTTTAGGGGAGGGAAACAAGGACATCACTTTAATTCAAACATTAAGAAAACCAACACTTAACAGACAGAATGGGACGGTGAGAAGTGTTACCATCTTAAAACACCTCCCCCCACTTCTTCCCAGGCTCCTACCCCCTCCCACAGCAGCACAGGGGCAGGGAGTGGGCAGTGCAGTCAATCCGTTGCTTCTTCCTGCAAGGTAGGGGAGGAATCAGTCTTCTGCATTCTTCCCCCTGCTCTATATGGCGTCCCTCTCACAGGAGACAGTCTTTCACAAACTCTCTCTGCAGTGAGTCCTCCCCACGGGATGCATTCTTCTCGAGGTGCTCTGGTGTAGGTCACCCCCACATGTTGCAATCCTCCCAGCACCAAACTACCACTGCGGGGGCTGCTTCTTCTCACAGAGTCCTGGGGTTCCTCCACAGGCTGCAGGCAAATCTCTGCTCTGCCAGTGGCCTCCATGGGTGTCAGGAGGGTGGCCCTGACATCTCATCACAGGATACAGGGGGGCTCTGCTCTGGTGCACCTGTTCCCCTTCCTCCTCCTTCCTTCCACTAACCTCAGAGTTCACATAGGTGTCCTCCTTGGAACCCATCCTCAAAGCGTCCCCCCTCTCAGGTTTCCCTTCTGAAATATGTTCTTGCAAGGGTGTGGCCACCATTGCTAATTGGCTTGGCCTTGGCTAGAGGCAGGTCCAACTTGGTGCTGGGGGAGCTTCTAGAAGCTTCTGACAGGGGGCCACTGCTCTAGCCCCTTCCTCTGCTACTAGAAACCCTGCCACACAAACCCAGAACACTCAGACAGTGCAGGAGTCTGCTGATAATTTCAACCTCCCTTTCACAAAGCAGGCAGGGCAGGACATGCCAAGGGAAAGGGAGGAAGATGCTAAAAAAGGAGCTAAAAAGTAAGAGCCTGAAAGGCAGTCGTGATAAAAGTAAGCTCAAGCAGCTGCTTCCACTTTTCCTGCCTTGAAAAGCTGCCCAAACAGTGCATCCCTGTGGATGCCCTGCTGTAAGGATTTCTCAACTTCAGGTCACCTCTTCAGGATGAAAGTTTTTGACTTGTAGCTCTACAAGACAGCGCCAACAAAAGACGACTGTGAGGATGTCACATGCAGAGAGGAGTGCTTGTCCAGGCTGTGCCCATCGAAAGCACTGTAGTCTTTGCAGATCAACAGAAAATGTGTGTATTTTCTGAAAGCTTCACGGAGATGCTTCTTGAACTTCTCACCCACGAAGGCATAGATGACCGGGTTGAGGCAGCAGTGGACGAAGGAGAGTGCCTCAGCCAGCTCCATGGCTAGGTCTAGCCTTTGGCTTGTCTGGCAGTCATCAATGATGTACATGTTCCTCAGAGAGTCCAGAAAAAGCACAATGTTGACAGGGGTCCAGAAGAGAAAGAACACAATGACGACAATAAAAACCAGTTTCATTGCTTTGTACTTATTCTGAGTATGGCACTTCTGCAGGTTTTTCAAGATGCTGTGGTAACAGAAAATGAAGACACCAACAGGGACCAGCCACCCCAGGACATTGACTTCAAAATTACTGAAAGTCTTCCAGCCATTGTTATTGTCAGGATAGTGAGGGATGCACTTAGTCTCGTTATTGTAATTCATTTCCTGGAAAAAAATTAACTCTGGTGCTGATGCTAAAATCGCAATTACCCAGAGAACTAGGCTGATGATAACCCCATGGGCAGTCGTCCGGACTCGTAGAGCGTAGACAGAATGGACAATGGCCAAGTACCTGTCAATGCTCATGATGGTTATGAAGAAGGTGCTGCTGTAGAAACCAATGAAGTAAGCTGAGCTGATGATTTTACACATCACATTTCCAAAAGTCCACTGGTTCACGATGGAGTACTGAACCAAGAAGGGGAGGGAGAAAACAAAGAGAAGGTCAGAGATGGAGAGGTTCAGCAGGTACACGTCAGTCATGGCCCTGACTTTCTTGAAGACTGTTAGGACCCAAACAACCAAAGCATTTCCCACAAGGCCAGTCACGAACAGTAGGGAGTACAGCACCGGAAAAAAGGTAGATGCAAACGCTGGAATATTTTCAAGATCACAGTTCATGTCCAGTTCTGGGTAGAAGAAGGCATATTCGTAGGCTGCAGAGGAGTTAGATATTGGTGCTGTGTAACCCACCTGTTCAAGGACAATGAAGTTCATGAGGCCCAAATCCCAAATTACCCTCTTAGTAGATATACTAGGTACAAGTCAGCACACACCAAGCCACATGAGGACAAAACAGCTGTGCCCCAGCTGTGTTGGAGGATGCAAATGATGAATGAAGATGAGTGACTAGTCCTCCCCTGCAAGATCTGGGATGAGGTTCTTGCACCAGAGGGGCAGAGGAGATCAAGGAAAACGCAGCTGTGGTGGTAAACCAGAGGTTACCAGTATGTCCTCTCTGGCTCCATGTAGGGTGCCCTACCCTGTGCCTACAGTCCTGGTGGGGCACCAGGACCAGCAACAGGGAGCATCCCCAAACCAGCAACCAAATGGACATGGCCAAGGGGCTGAGAGCCCCTGACATAGGTTTTTGGGTACTATTTCACATTTCCTTCAGAAAGGAGAAAGGGAGCAGGACTCAGAGAGGAACTGACATGTAAATGCTCATGTCCTAAAAACTGCATATCCAGCCGAGTGCCAGCAATAGCCTTTCATGGGGCAAGTTACTTTTGCAGAGGATTCCCACACAGTTCAAGCAGGTTTTCAGCTGTAAAGACATCAGCATGTACAGGTCACCACTGGGTGCTGCACATTGCACACTCTCTCCACCCCAGGTGAGATCAGCGGTGGCAGCTCTGGCCCAAGAGGCAACTTGCCAAATTGCTGATAGGGCTTTCTGCCCTTTCCTCCCTCCTCCCCAGCAGCTGCTTTGCCCTCAGCCTGTGCCAGCACAAACTGCTGCCAGCAGCAGCTCACATCCATCAAGACTTTACTCTGCGAACAGGGATGGCTGGTTTTCCTTTCAACACCAGTGGCTCTGCTTTCCTGGCACCCGTCAGAATGCACCAGCAGCAGCAACATCCCCCTTCCCTTCTCTCCGGCCCCTTGCAGCCACTCCCCCCCGCCCCCAGCAGCCACCACCACATCCCTGGGCAGCATCTGTGACAGCAAAAAACTAAAGAAGATGGGTGACAGCACATCTCCTGGTCAGGATGTCCTCCATAGGACACTCCTAGCACTACCCCTGCCCTTGAGGACAGCCTTCTTCCACAAGCAGAGTCTCATCAGCCAAAGGTATTTTCACTCAGTGATTTTTTTTCAGACAACAACAATCAGACTGATTTCTTCTAAACTCCTGTGGTCCCTACCAGAACTCTGTGTCCCTCTAGGCAAAACTGTACCCCTCAGATATGCTACTGGCCTCAGCTTGCAGGGCAGCAGCTCAGTGGGGATTTACTCACCAATATATCCTTGGAGCCATCTCTGCCTGGCAGGTATGTCAAGTTCCCCTCCATAATCCAACACTAAGTCTGAAAGAATGCAAAAAAAAAAAAAAAAAAAAAGTCTTTATATCACGGGTTTTTAAGAAGCAGGGATACCTTCACATGTATGACAGCAGTACTTACCTTAGCTTATGTTGCAGTGCCAAGTCACAGGCAAGGTCCTCACAGTATCAGTGCACAGTCATAAAATGCCTTTTTCTCTGTGTGAGGTGTTACATTCAAGATGTATAAAACCCCAAGCCAAAGAGTTCAGCCTGTCACTTGACACTTCTTAGAAAAACGGAAATGTGTCAGGTTTTCCTCTGAATAATCAGTAGGTTTTTTTCACTTTGAACATTTATATGAACGTCAATGGAAGAGATCTGCAATTTCCCTCACATCTCTGTGAAAAGCTTCCATCCCTCACCTGGGTGCCCCCATGCCACCTGTCATCCCCACTTCGCAGTCCCCATGGCTGGGAGAGAGGAAACAGCACTGACTCTCCTTTGCTCCAATGATTTTTGGTAAAGATGTCTGGGGGGAATGGTAAAATGCTGCTAATAGTCAGCCATAGCAAAGGACACCATGTTTAACATTTTTCCTTGGAAGGTGCCTTTCACACACACAGACAAAAATACTCAAGGGAACTGATTATAGAATGATAGAATCATTCAGACTGGAAAAGATTGTTAAGATCATTGAGTCCAACTGTAAACCTAATATTGCCAGGTCCATACCACCATTCCTTCCTGAAACATGCACCCTGCAGGACGCAGACTAATGCTGAAGTAAAGCCCTGAACAGCACTGGATTTCCACTGACTCTGCCAAGTACCTTCTGGGGCCTCATCCTGACCCAACATGGTTTTCATCCCACAGCTGTCTCCAACCTCTCCCCCAACACAAGATATGTGGGTGTTGGAAGTGTGGGAAAAGAAAAACAACAAAACCCCTGAAAATTACACATTTCCTTAACGCATGGTGCCCAGAACAAACACAGGATGGGATGGAGATCCAGTGATTTGTGTTGCTGTTGGCACCAAGAAGCAATGCAAAGTGAGGTGGAGATCATGCGGTCGTGTTCTTCCACTTTTCTCAAGGAATATTTGACGCAACTATGAAGATTTATCTCCTGCTCTTTCTCTTCTCTCAAGGACTGTTTTGCAGAACAATCCAGACCTTATCTCTCATTCTTCCTTTTCCCACAAAAACAGTGCACAACTTGCACCAAGGAATGTGCTGTGTCGTTACTCAAGAAACAATGGCTTGACCACAGTCCCACCCACTCACACATGTACACCCCAAAGGGATGCCTTTTGGTAAGATTTGGGTCCTCGGCTATGTGAGGTGATTTCCTGAAAATTAAGTGTGTGTGATTGCAATAATTTTTGTGTGTAGTGCTATATAGCCAACCTTCAGTTTGTGCATTTATCATAGGCAATCTCAAAGAATCTGCAGATGTTGCATAAGAATAAATGATACTATTCATGAACCTGACTGCTTCTCTTGAGTACACCTGGACCTACAGCATGTGGGCTGTTTGTGCATCTGGTGTCAGACCTATAGTTACGGCAGTAATTGGCATACCTATTAAGAGATAAATCCAGCCACCCCTAATCCCTCTAATCTCTGAGGACTGACTAGAACGCAAGGGGATTAATCTCTTACCAAATCAATTCATTACCTTAAATACAACAATGGGAAAGAGCAGCACTACTGAGCAATGGGCAGCATTCCAAGTGTGTGTTATCTCCTTAAATACTGCTGCTCCTCAACATAGATGGGTGCTACTACTGTAATTCAGGCAAGTCACATCACCTTTTAATTTTGTTTTTGAGCAAACTACCCCACTGGGTGTCAATCCATAGATGTGCTGCTAGAGATTCCCACGTGGAAGGGCCTATTGTCTCTCTCAGACCCTCTGAATGTGCACCTTCATTCACCATTGCTCCAAAGGCAGAGGGATAAATCTCTGTGAACCAAGAGAATCTGCAACTATTGCGCATGTGGCGGTGGGTGGCTTGCTTTGGCTGTGGTGGAAAGTGTAATACTGGATCAAAGTTCTATATGTGAGTCAAACCATATGTATATGGTAGTCTGATTGACAGCCAAGCTCTGCTGGATATTAACTCCTGCAATACCTGAAACCAGAAACTGAAACCAGAAACAAACTCCTTTGTCAGGAGTTACTGGCAGTGTTGAAGCAGTATCTCCATTATCCATGTGCAGGTTTAAAACAGCACTCACATCTGTGTCAGTGTTGGTGGCAGAGAATATAATCAGGAATTTTACAACGTGGAAAAACAGGTAGCAACCTCCTCTCAACAGGAATTTGGCAGTTCTGTACCTCTCACCTCCTAAGTCGAGGTGAAAGGCTGCCCAAGCACAAGGAACAAGCAGCCCCAGCAGCACCAAGACTGCTGGGGAGCTGTGAGATGCCCAGGCTTCTCCCAGTGCAGCAGGAACAGAGGCTCACAAGCCACCCGCATGGTAGCTGGGTCAAAGGGTGACACCTGGGACACTCACACCACACCTTTCATGCTCGTGAGAGGCGCTCCAGTGAGCCTGAGCGAGGGAGGAGCAGGCTGCTTGCAGCCTTTGCACAGAGCTTGTGGCAGGACATCCTCTGGTGCCTGCACTGGCTGCACAAAGCACCCTTGGAGCCACCTCTGCTCCCTGGACCCAGGGCACGAGTGGTTCACAATCGTCCTGGGGTCAGGCTTTGTCACTGGGCAGAGACGCCAAAGGGCACCTCTGCTTGCAGCTCACCGAGCTCCCCCCAGGCTCTTTCTACAGGGGAAGAGCTGGCCAGAGGAGACGAGAGGCCAACAGGCATCAGTGACAGCAGTGGCACAGGCTGCTGGCACCTCGTGTGCAGGGGGGAGACAAGGCCAAACGCCCCTGTCGGGAGACACTGGCTGTGCCCTGTCTGAGGGGAGCCCAGGAACCCTGGAAATTGGCCACCAGCCCTGGTGGGAAGGTGGCCAGTGTCCCTCCCCCGCTTTCAAAGAGCAGTGTCAGACAGAGAGGAGGAGGAGGATGGTGTCTAGGGGTCTGTCAGAAACTGGCAGGTGCCATTTTCTTCCCTGCCTACTTCTCTTCCTGTGTAAGTCTTTCAAGGACAGAACAAGCCCCTCACTCCCCATCCTGCCCTGAGCACAGTGGCCACTGGCTCTCACTGGTGAGCAAGTGATAGAAATAAAAGGCTTGTTCTGAACGGAGCTCCAGAAGAAAACCTGACCTCAAGGCATGAATATGTGTGCAGCATGTAAGGATGAGCACAGCGATGGATAGAAAGGAAGAACACAGCCACGGTCGAACACAGACTACCAGGACGCTGCAAAATATTGATTGTCCCTTTTGTCTGACTCAGCACCAGCCTTGACCAGAGCACCCAGCATGGTAAAGAGATGCATGTGTCAAGAAGCGCTTGCAAACCATTTGCCAGAAGGTAGCACCTTTCCTATGTGACAGGATGGAGGAAATGGGTCTTGTTCCCTAACACGCAGGTATTTAACTGGGCTGAGAGCAAAG